TTTGAATTTGACTCGAAATACTCCCACCAGTGGAACGTGGTTTGTCTCCAAGTCTACTCTAGGATAAGTATTGACAGATGTAAAGCTGTTTCGCAATCTTTTATTTACTAAAATGTAGTCTCTTTGATTCCTAATAATTCTCCTGGGTCTGTCTTGAGGGGATTTTCACGTGTACAGCTTGCGAGGTGGTAATTGGAAGAATGTGTTGGTGACTAGTTCTGAGTCTTCTGCAAATTTTTCTAGGAGGTCTCCTCTCTCGTTTCTGACTCCAAGTCCATGTGCTCCAATGTATAGTAGCGGTAATATATATAATAGAATACTTCAAATGAACGATTTGGATATTTTTGATAGTTCTGCTTTAATATATAGCGCAGCGGCTGAGACATTACAGTGACCATCCCTCTTACAGCATGCTTGCATTGAGTGATGTAGAATAGCTTGTGTAATTACTGTTGCTATTTTTATCTTTATTGTTACTAAAGAACTTTATAAAAACAGAATGTTGTGAATTGTCCCTTCTCTACAACATAAATAGAGAGCCAGACGACGTTGGAACTGGTCAAGTTTGTGGACTTGGATTAAACAATTCTTCGTCGAAAGCAAGTTATAAGTTGAATGGTAATGAAAATGGTCGTGTAAATTAAAATCACTTCATTTTCTTATTGCACTTGTTACAAAAATACTACGTATTTATCTTAAGTTTACTTTTTGTTCTGCTGTTTCACGAAGAGACGCTTAATTATTTCGCGGTGAATTTGACTGGCGATTACGAAATGCGATGGGTATGGTTTATAGGGTCGTGATATTTGTTCGTTACTTGAATTCGAAACTGTTCTGTCGAAATGTTACTCTAGTCCACTATTTATAGGAGAAATATATCCCAGCTTGTGACGATTTTAACCGTCATAACGACCTTTCTGCAACGTACCAACGATTTTTAACGTCGAAAACGAACTTTTCTTCGTGCTATATAGTGGCGTTTAAGCTAGTTTTTTCGATATATTTGCAAGCAAAAAAATACAATAAAAAGCAATATAACTGAAGATTTATTGCCTATTTACAAGTTCACGAAACTAAATACACCTTACTGGTCTCCCTTTGTGGACACATTAAACGTGTTGTTTTTATAATAAATTATCGAAGAAAATATGATACTTATCTGGGTTAGCAAACAATCTTTTGAACAGGTAGCTCAACTGAAAAATGGAATTTTTAAACGTTTTGTGGTCGTTAAATACTGGTTTTTATATTGCCGATGAGGAGGTTTGGAGCTAACAAGATAACGAGAAGTATTCTTCTTTATTGATTGTAATGAAAAGAATAAAGAATTATTAAGGATAATATGTTAAGACTTTAACACACAAGTTAAATCTAAAATTAACGTAAGTAATCAGTTCAAGTTCAAGTCAGTTTTAAAACGAGATTCTTTTCATTATTAAAGCTGCCGCTAGCAATCATGTTTTTTTGTTTGTTGTTTTTCCGACAAGGTGACAGATATATAATTTTTTGACATTACACTTTTAACCATTTAAAAAACAATGAAATATAACCTTTTGTTTTATTTTCAAATCAGATTTCCCTGCTCTTTGACTATACATATTACACATTATAATTTTATGATTTAATACTTACATCAATAAATTTGTATCAGTAAAACAACCAATATCTCGATACGTCCCTGGACAGCGGCTACTCGAATTTATAACGTCACTTTTTTCGATGGGCGATAGAAATATGGAGGCAACAATTTGTCTGAGTCACATAGATTACTTATACACTTAATTCATTTTTCTCCTTCTTTCGAATTTTCTACGTCACTATCATCATTCAAATCAATAATAAATTTATTTCCACATTAATGTGGAAGTGGCCAATCTTCTTATAATATTCTTCAACTTTGATTACTTTGGCGATTCTTTTCTGCCAGTCTTCTTTGGTATATTTAGATACTTCTTTTTTAATTATCTCAATTACCTTCTTGTCAAATTTAGGAAATGTATTTGCACGCCTTATACTTGGTTTTAATTGTCCCAAATTAACTCTATAGGATTGAAAACACAAAAATAGGGGGGAAGTCTCAATATAGTGTGTCCATGCTTTTCGGCAATATTCTCTAGGGCGTATAATTTTTCAAATTTCTTTTTGTGTAGAAACTTCAATGAGTTGTTTTTTTGTATAAAAATCTTCGAAATACAAATCATTTTCCATTAAAAAATTTTGCAGTTCAGCTTTGTTTGAAGATGAATTTGGTATCTTAGTGAGCTGTCGGAATGATACGAAGCGTTGTCAAGCACTGATTACACTGTTTGGCTCCAAGTTTGGGTATCAGTGAGTTTTCAAACCAATCTTCAAAAATATCAGCTCCATATTCTTGTGGTAGTCAACGTTACAATCTTCTATTTTCTTCCCACATAATTTTAAAGCATTCGGAACCCAACCTTCACTTCCTCCGCAATGTACAATAATTAGCCGCGACCCTTTATTTGCAGGCATTTCTGATATGCACATGTTTGAACCATCTGTCCATCCTTTCTTAACTGTATCGTGGGTATCATACCAAGTTTCATCTAAATTAGTAATTTCGGCCTACTTTCTTGCCTATATTTTGTAATTTTGTTCTAGATATATATTACGTCTGTTGACTATTCTTTGACTTTCCATAACTGCTTGACGTTTATTTATTGTTTTAAATTTAAATCCCATTTTCTTTATCCAATTTTGAAGAGTTTTATCACACCATTTCATATTCCAACGGTTGTTTTCAATTTCTTTCGTTATTATTTCTATTGTAGGTATTTTCATTGCTTTTGTAGCAATCGTATATTGTGGGTCTTCAATAGTTTTATAAGTGAAGCATCTATAGGTCTTGAACATTTGTAGTCACATCGCTTTTTGCGATGATAGGGTTCATTTTTAACTATTTTTGTATATACTTGAAAGTGGAATTTCTGTTAAATCGGAAGTTGCTTGTGCCACAGTTTTTCATCGAAGCCGAATTTCTTATGTAGATTTTTGTACACATTCAAACATACTTGCTGTGTTTCAGCATTTAAATGTATTCGAATCTTGTTTACAGGTACCTTTTTGTCAGGATTTATATTCACACCGGCACTGTTACTTTGACATGATCATTATTTTTAAAAGCAATGTTTTCAACCACATTCTCCCAGGGACGCCACATCACTATTTCAAAATAATTAAATTCCATCAAACACACCTACACTCTAGTTAGTCTGCTTCCCAACTAAACTAAACTAAAATATTTCGCACCGACCAATTCAAGTCTGTGCGAACCAGTCGGGTCAGTGTAATCAGATATTAGATCAAGGGTTCCGCTCTTAAAGAGTTTCTACAATATTTCTTACTTACACTATACTGTGTCTTATCTCCAGCTCGAATCTTGGCATTAAAATCACCCATAATGATGAGAGCTTCCTGTCAAGGAATTTTCTGTATGATACTGTTGATGTTCTGATAGAACTTAACTGCTTCTTCCTCCCCTTTGTCTGCAGTGGTAGCATCGACTTGGATGATGTTTATATTAATAGGGTTGGCTTCTACTTGTAGTAACATCACTCTTTCTGATATTGGTGTAAACTTAGTAACGCATTTGTTAACATTGGGTGATACGATTATTCCCACTCCATATTCATGTGATCCATCACTTTTTCCCGAGTAATATACCCTGTGATCTTCTATTTGTATTTCTCCAGAATCTGGTCATCTCATTTCTCCTATTCCTATGATTTCAATATGCATTCTCTTCATCTCCTGTATTACATTGTGGATTTTTCCTGCTTTGTATAAAGTTTGGACATTCCATATCATATGCAGATCTTTATATTGTTTCTGCACTTCAATTTATTATCTTTGGTAAACTCAAAACTGTCAATTGAGCTTCGCCATGATTGATTGACTAGGGCGTATCGCTGTGGATCTTTGATGGAGTGTTTGCCCTACATGTACTTCCTCATCCTTATGCAGATGATCAAATCTTTGGTTCATTCGCCTTCGAGGCCGATTTCACAACCTCAGGACAAAAGAGTGCTCTGCCACTTACCAACTCATCCGCCCGAAGCCGTTGGTCAGTAAGTGGGGGATTGCTTATACCGGCAATCGTTCGGTGAATGACTCGTCACATTGAAGAGTATGAGGTAGAAAGAAATATTGTGATCCGTCTGCCCTCGGAAACTTAATAGCCATTCGGGGTTGGAAGAAACAAGAGTTAGCCAAGAGAGGCTGATAGGAAAGATTAAAGACATCACTCAAGACAAGTTGAAAAAGAGTAATTTGTAAAGGCCCTTATGGTACGCCAGGTGCGTTTCATAAACGTATGAGTATTTATGCACCTTGTAATCCCGCTTATACCTCGTGGTGTTGACTACAGCCTGTATGGGTTGTCCAGCAGTCCATAGTATGAAGGATAGGGTGCACGTCATTTTTACAATGGAGACACCCAATTCCATGGCCTGACCCTAGATGTTGCGAGTTATATATAAAATTTCATTAAAATTATAAAATCAAAATTTTTGGTTTTTTCTTCACATCTTAAGATGGTCAGTTGAATCGTTGTTTAGTTACTTATTCCTAAAAACGAGTAAATTCACCAAATATACTTTACGTTATTTTTCGCCTGTTATACAACAAAAGCATGTGTTTTCGCGTTGTGTGAATTACAATTTTGAATTATACTGTAAGCTACTACAAACCGAAGACGTCACCTGTCATTTTATTTACCGAACAACTCATTGCTTTACGATAAACGCATTTAGTTGTCTTTTTTGTAACGCCTGATTGTTTAAAATGAGTACATTGACACGTGAACGGGCCTCAGAGAACAAATTGAATGAAACTAATTAAAATCAAATAAAATGTAATTAATTTCATATATTTCACATATTATTCCTGTTGACAAATAGATTTGTTGACAATTTTAGTTTAATTCACGGATAAAGCACCACAAAGCATAATATATTCTACGTGAAATGATAAAAACTTACTCTAGGGCGCAATATCCTTGGCAAATTGATATTCCTCCGATGACGTTTGGCGGTTTTGGTTTGTTCTCTCCCAAATATTTTGTTATCAGATTACCTCCTAAACTGAATCCTACGCAGACTACTTTCGTTTCTGGATACCGCACTACGATGTTTCTAATCATTGATTGGTAATCTTCAGAATCACCTATAAATTAAAAAAATCGACGGTAATAACTCAAAACAAATCTAGTTATAAGCAAAAACATAACTGTAGAGTACGATATCATATAACCAGTAGATACGTTACTATCTCCGTCTTTTTAGCAAGATAAGTGGCGCTTGAAATCACCCAAATTACTTGCCCCTAAGTTGATTCAAAACGGTTATTTGTGTTTAACCCTTGGCACTCATTGGCAAAGATTTAAGCACCTAGAAAGAATCGTGAGATATTTTCACGTCTGTGTAATACATCGAGTGAGCAAAACTGTTTTCAACATAAGTTTATATCTATCTATCTGATTTGCAAGGATCCCATTAATCTAAATTATCTGTTAATATTGCAGACCTGTGGTCAATTCTTTTTGCCGTGCTGTTGCAAATTTTTCATTTTATTTCTTTGTTTGAGCTCGTTTCCTTACGAGGTTAGCTATTAAAGGATGTCGCCCAATTCATTTTAATTTTAAAGATAATGCAAACAGGTTGTATATGCATTTTGAAAGAATCACACCCAATTTTTCCCCACACAAACAAAAGAGCATAGAATATTTATGTACATAAGTAAATAGTTTGCTTACGTAACAATGTTCGAAGAGAAACTGATTTCTAATACATTGGACAGACTAATCGAAGAATACAGGTTAGACGAGAAGAACATAGAAATGCCATCGAAAGAAAGGAGAACACGTCATCCCTATCACAACACGTCAATAACACAGGACCTGAAATAAAATAATCAGGAAAAGAGTAGAAATTAAAAAACATCCTTCTTCTTCTCGTGCCACTCCTAGCGGAGATTGGAAATCATCATTGCCACTGCGACTTTGTTAGCAGCGCGCCTAAAAAGTTCAATCCAACTACACCCGAACCATTCACGTAGATTACGAAGCCACGATATTTTTCTTCTTCCCACACTTCTTTTGCCCTTAATTTTGCCCTGCATGATGTTTTTTAAAAGTTCGTACTTTTCACCTCCTCACAATGTGCCCCCAAGTATTCCATCTTTCTAGTTTTTATCTCATTTAGAATTTCGCATCTTTTGTCTAAAGTTTGGAGTACTTGCGTGTTAGTGACGCGGTCCATCTATGATATTCTGAGAATGCGCCTATAGCACCACATCTCGAAAGCTTCGATGTTTTTTATGGTCAACTGTTTTAGTGTTCAAGCTTCAACTCCATATAACAGGGTAGAAAAGACATAACATCGCAGCATTCGTATTCGTAACTTTATATTGATATCACGATTGCAAAAGAGTTTGCGCATTCTATTAAAGACTGATCTAGCGATTTCTATTCTACATCTAATCTCTTTTGTTTGATCAGTATCGTCTGTGATCCAAGCACCTAGATATTTATAACAGGGCACACGCTCAATCGTTGTATTGTCTATTACAAGATTAGCTCTGATGTTCTTTGATTTCGTGATTACCATAAATTTAGTTTTTTTCAAATTAATTTTCAAGCCGTAACTGTTACAGTATATATTGAGACTTTGAACGAGATGTTGTAGTTCTACTAGCGTTCCCGTTAGGAGAACTGTATCGTCAGCATACCTTATATTGTTGATCGTCTCACCATTTATTATCAGACCAAGATCTTCTTCCTCGAGTGCTTGTTCACAGATAGCTTCACTATACAGATTAAATAAAAGTGGCGATAAGACACATCTCTGCCGGACTCCTCGACGGATTTGAATTTCTTCTGTTAGTCTGCCCTCAACCTTGACATTTGCTGTTTGATTCCAATATAGATTGCATATAATTCGAATATCTCGGCTGTCTATATTTTTCTTTATTAGAACTTGTCTTAGTGGTTCATGTTGTACTTTGTCAAAGGCCTTTCGAAATCAATAAAGCAGGCGTAAATTTCTTGGTTCATGTCTAAGCATCTCTGTGAGAGAATGTTCATTGCAAACAGAGCCTCCCTTGTACCCAGCCCTTTTCTGAATCCCATCTGAGTGTTACTGATGTCTACGTCTAATTTCCTATAGATCCTATTATGGATTATTTTTAAGAACAGTTTAGCATGACTCATCAAAGCTATCGTACGATATTCGTTGCATTCCTTTGTATTTGCGTTTTTTGGCAGTAGTATAAAGGTCGGACGGAGCCATTCCCTAGGTATTATTCTAGTTCTATATATTGTGTTACATAGATCAAGGAGTATTTTAATAGATTCATCGTCCATAAGTTTGAGCAGTTCTACGGGAATTTCATCAGGACCGGGGGCCTTACCACTTTTTGCTTGTTTGATTGCATATTCTATTTCTTCTCTGATTATACCAGGCCCTGTATCATCTGTCCTGAAAAAAACATCCAGAAAATTTAAATACAAGAGATTAAGCCCAAAGACTAGTGGAAAATTGCCTGGAAACCAATTCTATCTATTTCAAGCTTGCATGTCAGAATCAGTGTCGCTTCTTCATTTACTTTCCTATGTCGAAAATCATAAAAGAATCATCACACGAGAATGTAAAAATAAAAATAAATCAGAATTGAATTACTATCTCATGTCAAATGTATCTCAAAATTCTAGTAGCAGTTTTTTGGCGTAGTAATATAAGAAAGCCTAATTATCACATTACACATATAACTGGTCTAATTGGGTTTCCTGTTGAAAATACAATTAACTCATTTGCCAAACATATTGTCACGGTGAAGGTGCTGTGTGAATTTTCAATAGCTAGTCAATGGGCTTACGTAATAATATGGTAATGATTTGAAAGTTTTTACGAATTTCAGAATATATTTTAAGATTGTGAGTTTAATAAACTCATTATCGTTTTACGATTTTTATTGTTAAATATTATAAATTTCTTGTTTGATGTTTTTATGGTAGGTATGTATATATGGTCCAATATATACAACTGGATATATAATAACTGTGAACATCACAGTTATTTTACAACACGATGTATAATCTTTTATAACTAAATGTAATTTAAAGGGTTTTTACCCTGGTATTTTGGTGGCTCAGGACATTGTGACCTAGCATTTTTTCGATTTAAAACCTGGATGATGGACTGTGTGGTCCGAAAACGTTTGTTTTATTGATGTAGCCCTTTTAAGGGTTTTTTTAAATAAATATACCCATTTACGAAGACTAACCTCTTTTTTGTGATACGTGGTATATAGCCAGCTACAGGAATTGTTTTCCTTGTGGATTTTATTTAGAACTCTGATTTTTAACTAATATTCAAAGATTACGTTTCTTTCCTTTTTATACAACTAAGTGGTTGTACCTGTTGAGTTATACAACTACTTTTTATACAACTACACTCAGGTGCAAAAAAAAATTATCCATTCCTTATTTCTTATTTATTCGAAGTTGTATAATTTTAGAGACATTAAATAACGTATGTAAATTTAGGTGTACCCTTATACGAGAAATAAAATAATATTTTTAATATTGCTTTTTATATTTCTTAAAACAAATTGGTATTTCAGGTTTTTATCAAAAAGGGTCTGAAGCAAGTAGATATTAATTTATTGAATGTTGTTTTTAATTCAACAATCATACTATAGTGTATTTTTATGTATGAGAGAGTAATAAAACAATAAATTATGTATGTAAATCCCTAAACTGTTGATACGGGTGACTCAATGAAAAACAGATATTTGTCAACAAGTTTACAGAAGTATATAGGAAAACAATTTTAAATTGAGTATGACCACCAGGTATAAAGGTTGGAGCAGAATAGAATACAATAGTTGTGAGGGTTATTAATCCCTAAATAAGGTTGCCAGTGTCGGAGTGATGGAGGTTAACAGGTACTAATGAATTTGCAAGAACTGTAAGATGTTTATTTTATTGGTTATATATAACCAATAAAAGTTTAATAAGTACCTACCTATTTGCAAAATAAAGTTTAATTCTTTAGATAAAATAAAACGTTTTATTTTATCTGAAATCCACGAAGTAAGGGTTTCAACAATCAAACATTTAATTCTTTAATTCCAGGAATCTACGACAGTAATTGACTAGATAATTACCTTCTAAACTTATTCCACAGAAAATGTGATAGTGGGTTTTTCCATTTTGTAGGAAGGTCCAAGTGGCGTATTCAAAATTCTTAACAGTTCACTAAAAGTAGGTACTTCAGTTGCAAGGTGCAGTTTATTGTGTATACTAGTGTTATGGAAAATTTGGAAGTGCCGTGTAAACGCCGAAAAATTGGTCCTTTAACAGTTAATGAAAAAACATTAATATTTAATTGTTTTAAATCATTTACAGACAAACGTTTATGTGAAAGTGTTGATGTGACCGTTGAGTTAGTTAGCAGTACACTTGGTGTTGGGAAATCTACGATTTACAGAGTTATTAAAGAAGAGAAATGTGGTAGTTTTCAAATGCCACGTAATGCTCCAGGGAAACCAAAATTTCAAATAGAATATCATTTTAAAGAAGGACTTCGACGGAAAATGCATGAATTCTTCTTTAGACAAGAATTTCCACCATTGGATAAAGTTCTTGTCTCAGTTCGAGATGATAAGGATTACCCAGAAATGAGTCGAAGTACGTTATGGAAACTTTTATAAGAAATAGGCTTCCGCTGGAAAAAGAATCCAGAAAGTCTATTTTATTAGAAAGAAGCGATATTGTCATATGGAGAAGACATTTTCTAAGAACCATAAAGGAAATGACAAACCAAAAAAGAAAAATATTTTATCTTGATGAAACATGGTTCAACGAGGGTCATACACCAAATAAATTTTGGCAGGATGAAACTGTTACAAGTCAAAGGTACGCTTTTGTAAATAACTTATCTACTGGTTTAACCCACCATCAGGAAATGGACGCAGGCTGATAATAGTACACATTAGCAGTTCAGACGGTTTTGTTGAAGGTGGTTTATTAACTTTTGAATCAACTCGTACCGGTGGCTACCATGAAGACACGAACGCTGATGTCTTTCAAGAATGGTTCGAACAAATGATAGATCTTCTTCCTAAGAACTGTGTAATAGTAACGGATAATGCAAGTTATCACTCCAGACTTATAGAAGGACTGCCCACAACCAAGTGGTTAAAAAAAGACTTGCAGAATTGGCTGAGTTCAAAAAATATTACGTACCATCCCGGATCTATAAGAAAGGAACTTTATTCGTTGTGTGCCCTCGATAAAAAAAAAATTTTAAAAATACGAAATTGATGAAATTGCCAAAAATCGTGGAATGACAGTACTTAGATCCCCACCATATCATTGTGAATTAAAGGCAGTAAATCACACTATTAAAGAAAAGGAAAAAATGTGGAAGCTGGACAACATTACTGATAAAATGATCGAGCCAGTTATTATAAATCTTGGTTCTGAAAGTTCATCTTCTGAATCTGATTTGGATTTGTAACAAGTAGCTGTAAGTTTTATATTAATATTTTTATTCATCTATTTAACATACCTTAGACGGTTTTAAAAATTCTTTTTCTCTTTTGTAATTTTTAAAAATTAAAAAAAATGTGAATTTTTTAAAACCCTTTTTAATGTAGGCCAGTCAGTTCTAATATAGTGTGTGATAAAAGAGGTCACTTTTGTTTACATACACATAACACTTTATAACACTGAAATAATTCATTTATTTTTTACAATTATTCATAGTAATTTTTCAATTAATCTTGAGCACGCCGATGGAGTGGTCGAAGGTACCAGTTAAAATTATGCTAATTACTCTCTCGTTCATAAAAATAAACTATAGTGTAGTGATTTTATTTTCAAAACGTGTTATATTTTTATTTAATTATCCTTCCTAAATATCTCTAACTTCGACAGATGCTGCAAGGGCGGCGACTTTAGTTCAAGATGGTCGTAGCCAATATTATGCAGCTGAAATGTTGGGTGATAGTCGATCTTCGGTTCAAGAGCCGTTCGGCGTTTTAGCGACACTGGTAACTTCACAAGAAAACCAGGATCAGGTCGTAGAAGGGTAACATCCGAGAGAGATGATCGATTTCTGGTCTCATCATGTTTGAAAAATCGGCATCTAACTTCAGTTGAACTGGCAAATCGTCTGAGCGAAGTGAGAAATGTGGATGTAAGCAGATGGACAGTTCGTCGACGACTTGTAGAAGGTAATTTATTATCCAGAAGGCCAGCCCTATCTCCAATACTATCCATAGAACATCGCAGAGCTCGCGTTGCTTTTGCAATAGAACATGAAAACTGGAGTGATGCAGATTGGAGCAATGTATTGTTCTCAGATGAGTCCAGATTTTGTCTAAGGTCACCAGACGGCCGAGAAAGGGTTTGAAGAAGACACGGAGAGCGATATTTTCAATGTAATAATGCGGAAAGAATAAGTTATCGGGGAGGCTTCGTTATGGTTTGGGCTGGTATCAGTTCAGAAGCCTATACTGATTTAGTTATTGTAGATAGAGGTTCTATGACTGCTGCAAGATACATAACAAGTATTTTAGATCAGCATGTGGTACCTTTTGCTCTTTTCATTTGACCTAACTTTATTTTTATGGACGACCAACGCGCGTCCTTACCGTGCTAGAATCGTCAACCAATATATAGAGGAGGTGGGAATTGTCCGTATGAACTGGCCAGCTTGCAGTCCCGATCTCAATCCTATAGAACATCTATGAGATATGATGGGAAGACGTCTTCGAGCACGAGTACCCCGTCCAAACAACTTGGCTGAACTTACAGCGGCTCTTCAAGAAATATGGGACCAATTGGATGAATTTGATATCCAGAGGTTAATTACCACAATGCCTAGACATGTACGGGCTGTTATAAGAGCCCGAGAGGGAAACATTAGATATTGAATTATTATCAATGTTTTTCTTAATTTCAGAAAGTTTTGAATATTCTTGTATTTTTGAGTTTTGGCGTATGTCTCTATAAATAAATGATTTTTTTGTATAATCTGTAAAAATTATTTTAATCTAACATATACTTTTACATATATACCGGATTTAAAACTAATATCTTCAAACGTTTTCTTTTTTCAGCAAATAATACCCATGGATCGATTTTTTTGCACCTTAGTGTATAAGGAATCGATATATTCTTGTAATATCAATCCTTTATGATACACAATAATAAAGCTTACCATAATTAAAGATTCTGGGTCCAGTAACAGGAACGTTCTTCAGTACTCCGACGTGGTTCAACACGACGCATCTGTAGCCGTGATACTGTGCCCAATGTACGAATGTGCGTACGTAGATACTTTCAGATGTATTACAAATTCCGGGACAAATTGCTATGCTCACATCATCTGAAAAATAAATGTAAAATATGTAGAATACTGTAGCGTTTTATTTTTCTAGTTAAAATTTTGATTAGCACTGTACATGTAACATTTCGTAGACTGTTTTTATTACGCAGTACTTTAGTTCCCATGCCATTAAATATTTATGTTTGAAATAAAAAAAATGAAATAATAAAACAAGTATGGACTAAATTTTTTTTTTCATTTTCAGATTCATTTTCAGTTTTCATTTTCAGTTTTCATTTTCAGAATGTATCTGAAAATGAATCTGAGTAAAACTAAGCTAATGTCGAATAAAGATGATCAACCGACGATAACCATCCAAGGAACAAAAGTGGAACATGTAGAAGAATACATATATCTGGGTCAGAATATCAAGGTAAACAAAGAAAACCAAACTACCAAAATAAGCAGACGAGTAAGAATGGGGATGGGCCGCATTTGGAAAACTCTCATACATACTGAAAGACAAAAAGATACCCCAAAACCCTAAACCAAAGTGTTCGATTCTTGTATCCTTCCCGTTCTCACTAGCGGAGCTCAAACCTGGACATTCACATAAAAGAACATGGACAAGATTTGAAACACTCAGCGAGCCATGGAACGACAGATGCTTGGTATCTCACTAATAGATCGGCAAACGAACAAAGCAATCCGGAACAAAACAAAATAAAGGACGCCGCGAAACAAGCAGCTAAATTAAAATGGAAATGGGCTGGACACAACGAACGTCTCGAAGATGGTAGATGGAACAAAGAAGTCGGAAACTGGCGACCGTACGATGCGAAGAGACCAAGAGGAAGACCTCAAATGCGCTGGAGCGACGATATCAAAAGAGTCGCAGAACCAATGTGGAAACGCCTAGCACACAACAGGGATGAATGGCGAGAAATGGGAGAGGCATTTATTCGACAATTCGGATAGAAAAAGGACTATAAAAAAAATTGACTAAATATACTGAAGATCTTTTCATGGACACAAGAACGGAAGTCCGACAAGCTATAAACAGCTCAAAATCTGGCGAAGTTCCCAGCCCAGATAAAGTTCACATCGAGTTGATTAAACTTATAGATGAAAACAATTTAAGCGCAAATAACTATTCTCTTTAACAATATACAAATCTGGTGAAACATCTACAGAATGGCTACAATCGACATTTGTTCCACTACCAAAAACTAAGAATCCCAAATACTGTAATGACTATAGATTGATTAGCTTAATGTCAGAATTATTAAAAACATTTTTAAAAAATTTATTAAACATCCTTTGTAAAAGGTATATATTTAGGCCCAAACGGGCTAAGTTAAAAAGACAAAACGTTTTCGGAATCCATATTCCATCATCAGTGTCCTAGAAAATATTTAACCACTTAATTAAAAAGAAACAACAATTTTAATTTTGCTTTGGATTTATTTGTTCCCTATTCTGTAACTATTACCTTTACGTACTGCTTGTATTATTCCATCCATTATTATATTAAAGAGACGTGGGCTTAACGGGTCACCCTATCTGACTCCGCTTTGTACTGGTATACACTGTGTTAATTTTCCATTTATCTTTGCCTGCATTTGATTATGTAAGTAGATGTTTTCGATGGTTTGTATAATATTGATTGGTATGTTTCTTTTATACAGTAGGTGTAAGACGTCTTCGACTTGGATGCGATCGAAAGCCTTTTTCAGGTCTATAAAACAGATATGCTGGTTTATTGTACTCGATTGCCTTTTCTGTGATTTGTCTTAGTACAAATACGACGTCTATGCAGGATCTTCCCGATCTGAATCCTTGTTAGTCATCTGATAAAGTTATTAGCGGTGTTCAGTAGATTTATATCTCTATAATTGTTGGGGTCTTCTTTATCTCCTTTCTTGAGCATTGGTATCATTATGCTGTTTTTCCATGAGTCTAGTATATAGCAGTGCAATATCAGTTTTTGTATAAGTTTTGTCATCTCTAGGGTTATACTTTCTCCTCCATGTTTTAGAAGCTCGTTGGTTATTCCGTCTAGTCCTAGTGACTTTCTATTTTTGAGTGTAAGTTATGGTTACCTCTACTTCCTGAAAACTGATTTCTATTTCGTGTCTTAATTCAGGTACGTTATTGTGTTGATTCATTTTTCCTTTGCTTTAAACAGTTCCGTCAGGTATCTTTCCCATTCGTTTGCTGGTATGTTATTGTATTCTCTGTAGAAAATGTTTTGGTGTTATTTTCATTCTTATTTATGCTATTACTAGTTAATGTTCACTTCCTGCGTCTGCTGAGTTTCAAGTTCGGATATCTAGAATCTACTTTGGGTGGATTTTTGTTTAGTAACTTTAAAATCAATCATAGATTTGTGCCCCCTGGAGTTTTCAAATGTATATTTATACTAGAGCTTTTTTTTAATTCAATTTAGAAATTGCTTGTTTCATATTTTTATTACTATTATAGAGCAATTTACTTTCGTACTTCTTATGCACACCATTGCAAATTCGTGAAATATACTATACCTGGAAAGTGAGTATCTATTGGTTGATACATATCGTAGGTCAATGTTGTGCCATCTTGCAGTGTGAGGAATACCCTTTCTCCTGTAGGCCAAGGACATTTTACTCTACCTATAATACTATGAAGGATTGTCTGCACATGACCGCTGAAACCCCAAAGTCGAGTTGGAATGTACCTGAAACAAATGATTTATTTTAAGAGATTATGCCTTAATCAGTCGACTTTTAGCAAGAAATAACTTTATTCAGCTCAGAATCATTCAAATAATTAATTACTACTAATATATTATTAATTTGGTAACAAAAATTGCGGATATTGCAGAATACACCTTTGAGTTATCAAATTACGCTTGTGCAAATGATGCGCAGTTTCGTAATTTCCTAAACAACAAACTCGAAGAGCATCAATTATTATAAATTTCTAAAATGGTTTGATTAATAAACGACCATTAGAAAATGACAAAATTATTAGGCGGTATTGCATCAATCCCTCATTCATCTATCTTTAAAGATAGTAAAAAGGATTTTTTGTATAAATTCCTTTATATGTATAAATATTTATACAAATGTATTTAAAATGAATTTTTATCTCTTTATTTTTTTTTCTTATTTATATCACATTAAATCTATTGTCTATTGAGTAGATACTCTTGTAGTACGAAACCCGACATTATTATTAGTAACAAATGGAAAACAAGGCAAAATATAAGAAAATAATCAATTTCTAGAGAATTACGATGTTACAGTTATAACAATAATTGAATTATGGAGTCCAGAAAAATCAAGTATCACTAGATTCAATAATGTATGTTGTCACCACGGTTCTGGACGACACTCATCATTCGATTTGGGATAGAACTGATCACAATTTGGATGTGACCATTTGCTGAAAAGTGGTCCATTCCTCGTTGAGAGTCATTCGAGCCCTTCACATGTTGTTGGAGCAAGTATACGACGTCTGACAAGAATTTTGAGGAGGCTACATATATGCTTAATAGGATTAAGGTCTGGACTTTGAGCAGGCCAGTCCATTTTTGAAATACCAACATGTTTAATATACTGTGTTACAATCCTTACCGTGTGTGATCTCGCATTATCGTGCATTAGCAGAAAACCATTGCAAATAAACCCAGCATATGGCATCACCTGATGTTGCAGGATCTCCGTTATGTATCTGTGTGCTATTAATGCGCCCCTCTCAATCAAGACGATATTCGTGTGTCGCAAAAAAGAAATCCCTGCCAAAAACATTGCTGAGCCACCAAAAAAGCCAACCCAACTGTGACCGCGTGCAGGCAGCATAACGTCCCCCAGCCCTTCTGTAGACCTTATTTGGACTATCTTTACCATAAATTTATATTCTACACTCATCGGTAAACAATACTTCACGAACAAATGCGTCTTTGTGAGCAGCAGTAAGTAATGGCCCCGTTGCTGAATTGAAAACTGTCAAACCTTGTTCCCTTAACCTTCATCGAACAGTACAAACAGTTAATTACTTGTCCTTGGGCTTGCTGAATCAAATGGAACCTAATGAAATCGAATCGAATATGGACTGAAAGCGAATGGAATTGAATCGAATTAAATCGAATGGAATCGAACTAAAATGAAGTGATTCGCATTAAATTCAGCTGAATTCAATATAATTGAATTCAATTAAAATCGCTCCGTGCCTAAACGATAAGAAAAGTATGCTTCCCCTCCTCGGTCACTACCGGGTTACCACATCAAGTTTTTATTAATATTTCCGACATATTTTAGAGCAAGGATAAGTCAATTATAATTACTGAAGTTTTCAAACAACTTTTTCTGCAAAAATCAGAATGCCACCTCTGACATCCACCTCAAAACAGATCCGCCCTGCTCTATAGCTTGTGCCTAACCCATCTATCGGAACTAAATACTATTGTCTGGGTTTTCTGCTTGTTTAACTTAAGTTTGTTACAGTTAAACCAGGATTTAGATTTTTCTAATATTTCCTGACTGTAATCAGTTTTACCTCTACATAATAAGGTTGTGTCATCTGCAAAATGAAAAAACAGTTGGTGTTTTCCAATGCACTTGGTAAATCATTTACATATATATTAAGAATTGCAGAGGTCCCAAAACTAATTCGTGTGGTACTCCGGTTGAAACTGGCAGACGATTAGATTCTTGATTATTAAATGCAACAATCTGTGTTCTTTTGTAAGATATGGTTTTAAAAGGTCGTGTATGGTACCCTTTATTCCATAGTACTCCAATTTTATCAATAGTGTTGTATCCACTCAATCAGAAGCTTTTGTAAGGCTATACATTAATCGATTAGTAGATTCACCTGCATCAAGACCGTGAACAATATGTTCTATTACTTCTAATAAAGCTTTAAATTGATTTGTTTTCAAATAATCTGTTATACGATCTTTAATTAACATTTCAAAACATTTACTTATTATTGGTACTATGGTAATAGGTCTGTAATTGTCTGGAGCATTTTTATTTCCTTTTTTATGAAGTGGAATTTTGATATTTTGAATACATCAGTCCATTAATCCTCGTTAATACATTTGCTAAATATTCTCATGAGTGGTTCAATAATTATATCTAGATATGCCTTAATAATTTTACTGTTACAAACATAGTAGTCAACACATGAGGAATTTTTTAATTTGTGCATGCATTCTTTCACATCAGATGCTACTATTGCTTCCATAAAGAACGAACTCGACCTTCTAGGTATCCTACTAAGATAGTAGTTTATGTCATGCTCAGAGTTTCTTATTGATTTAGATATAATATCTGCTATATTCGTAAAGTATTCGTTAATCTTCTGGTGTTAAGTTTAGATTTGATGTAGTATTTTCTTTATAGGTTTTTTTTTAACAATACTCCATATATTATCTTACTTTTGTTAGTGGATTTGTTTATTATGTTAGCATAAGCAGTACGTTTTTCAGCTTTTATTGCTGGCTTGTATTTCTTTCGCATCTCACAATATTTAATCCAATTGTCAGTAGTATGTGTTTTCCTATACGTCGCTTTACAATCGTAGAGTTGTTTTCTTAAATTTCGAAGTTTGCGATTAACCAATGAATAGCATGCATTCTGCTATTCACGTTTCATTCAGTATATCGAAGATATAGAATATATATCGAAGATTTCGAGAAACTGGTTCTTACTTAAGAAGACCTGGACAGAGAAGACCAAGGACAAAAATGCCATGACATATCGCTTTCTTAGAATTAAGATGTTTCGAGAGCGAACAGTTACTACTACAGTTTTGTTAATTTATCATCTTATGTACCTGTTTGCTACAGGCCCTTTATTGGAGGCAGCCCATGAAAGACAACGCTTGGTATTCTCTCGTGTTTATGCTGATTTGGATATGGAAGGTTGGTGAATCGTTATGTTTACAGACGAGTCTCGTTTTAAGAGATATTCACCTGATGGACGCCAAGGAGTGTGGAGAATCCTATGCCCATTATTGCCATTTCTTTGGAAGCACATACTGTTGTAAAAACAACCTATATAATATTGTAATCATATAGTTATTTTATCAAATTGTGCTCTCAGGTCGTCAGCTATCGTGTTAACGTGTGTGCGACTGATTTCCTACATCAGGGACCCGTCCTCCCCTCGTTATATAACTTAGGAAAGACAGTAACAACTTGCCTCTCGGCAAGTGAAGGCCGGGTGTGTGTGATCCCGAAAAGTACGTAAGCCGCGTATTCGCTATCGTGAGCCGGTGTTTTCAGTGTTTTGTGTTAAAACGTATATAGTTGGTCTCTCCCAATTTTATCATTTCATGTATATCTGTTACTGCCTCCCCGCACTCACTGTAAAGCTAATATTTGTATAACTCTTTATGTAACTATCAGAATCGCGATAATTGTCAATGTTTGAACCAGCCCTTAAGTCTATTGTGTAAATAAATCGAAGGAAAATACCTCTTAATTGTTTTATTGCTTCAGTGTTCCTTAATAAATATTTTGAAGCAATTAGGTGTTCAAATACGCCTCTCTTAAATGTGGATAGTTTGGCAACAAAGTTTACCCTTTCCATCACATACAAATCTTGTTATGTTAAGGTGATGTGACCATAATGCTGATAGTGTCGTCTCGTCGGAGAAAGGAGTCGAACCGCCTTGGTGTCTTCGGACGCTCTGCAGAGGGCTTCGATCGTCGCAGGTGAAGAATCCCCTGCTAAGTCCATCTTGGCTATGGACTGTTGATGTATTTGGTGTAGCTTGCCTGACCTGAAAATCGCCTCCTACTTTTATATACGAGTATTGTAGCGATTAGGGAAGGATTAGAGGCTGGGCGATGCGCATCGGAGTACGCACTAATCCATAGAATAAAGCACTCGATAACAATAATAGGTATATTAGGGAGTTTTTTCCTAATGCACAATAATACTCGTTTGCACAAAGCCGGGGTAAAAATTCAATACTTTACAGATTTTGGTATCTGGATATTAGCTTGGCCTCCTAGTCCAGAACTTAACCCCATAGAGAATTTATGGGACAATTTAGGAAGAGTAATTAGGCAAAATTATGGCGAGCTTGAAACTGTGGTAGCGTTAGTAGGACGTGCTGGGTAAACTAGTGGGAACCAATATCGCAAAATGAGATCGTTTTGGTCTAGTATATGCCAGAATACTCGATTTTGATATCTATATTTGAGAATTATATTATGATTTCTTCTTCTTCCTCTTCCCTCTTGTATGTAAGCTTTAAAGCCTGTTTCTTCTTTAATATTAGCCTCCTAAATTGTTTAAATTATCGCACCACCTTTTCTTGGTCTGCCAATATGGTGACTTCTACTAATGGGTCCTCTGCCTTTCTACTAATGTGTTCTTTCCACTCATGTTTTTGTTTTGTCACCCATTCATTTATGTCTTCTATATTGCCATGCTCTTCTTATGTTTTCGCGTCTCTCCGTATCCAATAGACTTTTCCCTGATAGTCGTCGGAGTATTTTCATCTCTGTTGTTTCTAGTAGTCGTCTTGTTTTAGATGTGTCAGGTCTTGTCTCCGCCGTGTATGTTAATATAGATCTAATTGCTGCTTTATAGATTCTTGTTTTTGTATATTTAAATCTTTATATATTTAAATATTTAAAAATATTTAAATGATCTTGTCAGAGATGGCCTTCTGCGTGGAAGTCAGACACTCTACCGCCCGAGTTATCGGATTCAT